CAGTATTAAAAACAAACAGCGCACTTATCACAGGCTTTTCAGTAGGTATCCACTACATTTCAATCCTAAGATGCATACTTTCTCAATCGTTAGGCGATTTTACTAATCCGAAATAAGTGTAAAAAGTGACCACAAACCAGAGGTTTTTTGAGTACTCAGTTTGCTTGCCAGACCGTTTGATAACAAAACTGGATCAGCGTTGCACAGTGAATCGCGTGAGCGCATTTTCAAAAAACTCCTCAGTTTCTGCAAGACAAAAGTGCGAATCCATGGCGGCACGGGGCGATCGAACGGACCACGGTGGTGAAAATTTAAAACCTGAAAAAAAAAACTTCTAGTTATAGATAATACATACTTTTACCAGCGGTCTTGGTTGAATCTTGAGGTCATTTCCGCAAGTTTGCCTAAGGCCTACACCGGGCATTCGCTTGACTAACTAATGGGTCACTTGGCTCGCGTTCTTGTTCTGGGCCATTTTGCATGATCGCTGGGCGCAAAAATCGGCCGATGTTTTATGTGATTTCAGATATCATAAAGCTCGCCTGAACAAGTAATAAACAATGTTTAAAAATGAATGAAAATTTTCATGTTACTTTTACCATAACGGTCATGACGACGGATATACTGGTCATGAGCATAACAACGGTTAAGTAGATTCCGATCAGAGGCATCGAATCACTGGTCTCCGGCATTTTCTCAGCTATTGCCAGCACGAAAACCTAAAATAACACATATCTGATCAAAATGGTCTTGAAATTTTGTCGATAATCCAAAACAGCTCCCGAAAAGAGAATCGCAAAAAATCGTTGGAAATAATAATATCGATGGCAATAACAGTGATGATAAGAGAAATAATAGTAATAATAGTAGAAGTGAGAGTGAGAATAATAGAAATATTAGTAATAATGACAATAGTCAAAAATATTGACAATAATGATACTGGTGCTAGCAATAGTTAATAACCCTGGGCTGTTCGGCCAATTAGAAACTGAACTGCGAAAGGGGCAACAGAGAATGCGAATTCAAACAATCGTGGGTTACTGTTTGGATCGCTGGGCATCAAATCGAAAATTTTGGTAACTTGACTTACCGAGAATGCAAGAAGAACAGTGATGCCCAATGCAATTTTTTCACCGGAATCGGGCGGTAGAAGAAATACTGAAAATTCTAAATATATTGAAATTTTGGAAAATTTCGAAACTTTTTCTCGATAAAACGCTAGTACCGAGTACTACATCCATTATCAATTTTACTGGGTTCTTCTCGAACGTGGCACTTGATGTTATTGAAAAGCAGCCATAGATAACGAAATTATTACCGATCCCTTTTGATTTAAAGAAAAAGACTGTTGGCAGCACCATCTTTCGAAAAATACTTAGAAGCAAGGCGGTGGCGATTTTGTCTTCCAGGCCTATGTGCTGGTACCAATTTAACACCGAAACGAATAAAAAACTTGTACAGGAACTGCTTGTCATACCGATAGAGCCGAATTCTCGACTCCCAGCATAACAAAAGCAATACTTGCCACCGCGCCATGAACGTCAGCAAAACAGTCTTAATTTATAAACTGAACAAAATTTAAGGTTGAGTTTGATTTTATTAAGCAGTTAAATAACCTTACCGAGAAGTGTTAAAACGGACATCATCAAGCACGGAAATACCACATTGTACAAGTAGTAAAGAGTCTGAAAAATTTTTGGTTTCTGATAAAACTCTCGAATAAACTCATATTTTTTAATTAGCCAGTTGGCAAAACACTAATTTTGGCAGCTTAAATTTTGCAATGGCAAAATAACTGCCTGTAAGGATGTTTTTCGAAAACTTCAGTGTTCCCTACAATAGTGTATTCTGTTGCCAAGAATTATTTAGCAGGAGTGAGAAATAACACATGGACAAACTCATAGGTGGCACTAAGTAATGCCAAATTATAACTGTTATAGTCAAGATTGAGAAGAGACTCATTAAAAGACTTCGAATTACATGGATCCAACAAACTTA